TCTAACAGCATTCCCTCCCCTCCCCTCCCACCCCTGGTAACCAACAAAGAAAATGTCCTCCAATATATAAACCTTTCCTTAACTTCAAAAGGTATTCTTGATTCCCTAAGTTCACAATCTAAATGTATGACATCACTGGATCACTCCATCTCTAAAGAATGACATAAACTAGTGATGGAAGTGACAATTTTTTTTTTTTTAACTTTTACTGTAGTAAAAACAGACAGGAAGACATTTGCTGAAATAACTTCTTCATTTAGAGCACAGGGATACTGATAACATTTTTCACGTTGTGACAGTATTGTTGTTGTTATGTGCCGCCGAGTCGGACCCAACTCATAGCGACCCCTTCTTGGGTTGCCGAGGCAGTATCACTATGGAAGTAGATTGCCCAACCTTCCTTCCATTATTGCTATCCTTTTCCAAAATATTCTACCACCATTAGCATAAACTACCCCACAAACAAAAGTTTCCCCTTCTCCCCTCCCTCATACTTTTAACAAAACAAAAACAAACTCACTGCCATTGAGTCTTTTTTTCCAACTCATAGCGACCCCTACTTGGGTTTCTGAGGCAGTATCTCTACGGAAGTAGATTGTCCAGTCTTCTGGTGGTTTTGAAGTGCCAGCCTTCTGGTTAGCAGTCAAATGCCTTAGGCACTATGCCAGAACTCCCTCATACCCCTGGTAACCACTAATAATCTTTGGTTTCTATAAGAAACCATATAAGGGCCTCTCCTCTCTTCCCATCCCTGATAAACCAACAAAGAAAGTTTCCTCCTATATAAACTTTTCCTCGACTTTACTTATCTTTCTGTAATTGACTTATTAGACTCAGCATAATATCTTCTAAGTTCATCCATGTTATGCAGTGCTTTGCAGATTCTACATTATTCTTTACAGTTGCATAGTATTCCATTGTGTGTATGTACCACAGTTTGTGTATCCATTCCCCGTCGGTAGATGGGCACTTAGGTTGTTTACATCTCTTTGCTATTGTGAATAGTGCTGCAGTGAACATGGGTGTGCATATATCTGTTTGTGTCCTGCTTCACTTCCTTAGGATATATACCTAGTAATAGGATTACTGGATCAAATGGTATTCTAGTTCCAACTTTTTAAGGAAGAGCCATACCAGTTTCCACAGTGGCTGTATCATTTTACAGTCCCACCAGCAGTGTATGAGAGTTCCAATCTCTCCACATCTTTGCCATCATTTGTTGTTTTCTGTCTTGTTGAACTTTGCTATTAATGCTGGGGTGAGATGGTATCTCATGGTTGTTTTGATTTGCATCTCTCTAATTTGACTGCTACTCAGAAGGCTGGCAATTCAAACCCACCAGCCACTCCTCAGAAGGAAGAGTGTGCAATCTACTTCTGTAGAGATACTGCGTTGGAAACCCAAGGAGGGGTCGCTATGAATCGGAATCAACTTGACGACACTGAGTTTGGTGTTTTTAATGGCTAATGATCGCGAACATTTCTTCATGTATTTGTTGGGAGCCTGCATACTTTCTTTGGTGAAGTGACTCTTCATGTCTTCTGCCCATTTTTTAATTGGATTGTGTGTCTTTTTGATGTTGACATGTTGGAGTTTTCTATTTATTTTGGAGATAAAGCGTTTGTCTGATATGTCATTGCTGAGTATTTTCTCCCACTCTGTAGGTTCTCTTTTTACTCGTTTGGAGAAGTCTTTTGATGCATGCAAGAATTTAATTTTTTGAAGTCCCAATCATCTACTTTATCTTCTGCTGTTTTGCATCTTGGGTTATGCCATGAAGCAGGGCTCCAAAGTTTATCCTATTTTTTCTTTCATGAACTTTATAGTTGTAGGTTTCACATTTAAGTCTTTGATCCATCTAGAGTTCATTTTTGTGTATGGTATGAGGTACTGATCTTGTTTCATTTTTCTGCAAATGGATAACCAGTTCTGCCAGCACCATTTGTTAAAGAGACTATATCTTCACCATTTAATGGAGTTTGGCCCTTTGTCAGAGATCAACTGACTATAGATCGATAGACTGATATCTGGGTTCTCAATTCTGCTCCACCGGTCTACGTGTCTGTTGTTGTACCAGTACCAGGCTGTTTTGACAACTGTGGCTCTGTAAGTAGGTTTTGAGATCTGAGAGTGTGAGCCTTCTACTTTGTTCTTCTTCAGCACTACTTTGCTTATCCAAGGTCTGTTTCCCTTCCATATAAAATTTTGTTGTTGTTGTTGTCATGTGCTGTCGAGTTGGACCTGACTCATAGCAACCCCTCCTTGGGTTTCTGAAGCAGTATCACTACAGAAGTAGACTGCCCCACCTTCCTTCCGAGGTCCATATAAAATTAGTGACAGGTTTTTCCATGTCTTTAAAGAATGTGGATGAAACCTGGATCAGGACTGCATTGAATGCATAGATTGCTTTGGGTAGTACTGACATTTTCACAATGTTAATCTTCCTATCCATGAAGATGGTATGTTTCTTTAATTTATGTAGGTCTCCTACAGTTTCTTGTAGTAGTGTTTCATACTTTTTCTTTGTAGAGGTGTTTTGTGTTCCTGGTAAGATTTATCCCCAAATGTCTTATCATTTAGTATCTATTGTAAATGGTATTGATTTCCTTTTCACAGACCTCTTCGCTTGTGTAGAGGAATATAACTGATTTTTTATGTTGATCTTGTATTCCTGCCACTATGGTAAATAGTTCCAGTAGTTTTCCTGTTGAGTCTCTTGGGTTTTCTATATATAGGATCCTATCATCTGCAAATAGGGATAGTTTTACTTCTTCCTTACCAACTTGGATGCCTTTGATTTCCCTTTCTTGCCTTATTGCCCCAGCTTGGACTTCTAATAAAGAGCTCTGGTGGCACAGCGTCTAAGGCATTTGACTGCTAACCAGAAGGTTGGTGGTTCAAACCCACTAGACATGCTGTGGAAGGAATAATGGGCAGTCTACTTCTGCAAAGATTTACTGCCTCAGAAACCCAGTGTGGGTTGCTGTGAGATGGAATCAACTTGATGGCAGCGAGTTTGGTTTTTGGTTTGAAGACTTCCAATATAATGGGGAATAGAAGTGGAGATTGATGGAGGGCATTCTTATCTGGTGCCTGTTTGCAATGAGAATGGTTTCAGTCTCTCTCCATTGAGAATAATGTTGGCTGTTGGTTTTGCATATACACCCTTTACTATGTTGAGGAACTTCCCTTCTATTCCTATTTTTCTGAGAGTTTTTATCAGGAATGGATATTGGATTTTATCAAATGCCTTTTCTGTTATCTATTGATATGATCATGTGATTCTTTTCCTTTATTTTCCTTATGTGATGGATTACACTGATTATTTTTCTAATGTTGAACTATCCTTGCGTACCTGGTATGAATCCCACTTGGTCATGATGTATTATTTTTTTTGATCTGTTGTTGGAGTCTACAGGCTAGGATTTTGTTGAAGATTTCTGCATCTATATTCATGGAGGATATTGGTCTGTATGTTATGGGTCTGTCCATTTCTTCTAGGTTTTCCAATTTGTTGGAGTACAGTTCTTCATAGTATGTTGGTATTATTCTTTTCTGTTGGTTTTATTGCGATATCACCCCTTTCATTTCTTATTCGTGTTATTTGCATCTTCTTTCTTTTCCTTTAAGTTTGCCAGTTGTTTGACATTTTCAATGACAAAATGTAGAGATGGGTCCATAGCATTCAATCACTAGTGTTTTGTATGCCAGTAACTTCTCTTCCATGTTTCCATTTCTCACAGCCAGAATCAGACCATTTAACAAGATATTGAAGTCCTTCCTCCAAGCCTAATATGTCACTCAACCATGAAAATAGTGGTGTGCTTTTCTAAAACGATTATCAATGATGTTCAAAGAAAAGTCTGTCTTTCTATCTCCTCCCTTTTCTTATACTGACTTCAGAGAATCTGCCAATAGCTATGCTCATAGACTGGATTATTCTTCAGCTCTCCCCTCCACTCTCTTCCCCTTCTCACCGTGGACAGGGGAAAATTCCTCACCCCACAGATCTTGGTCTGGCTTAGTCATGTGACTTGCTTTGCTCCAATGAACTGTTAGCACAACTTGTGGTTCTTGTTGTCTGGTGGTCAGCCACAGTATTAGGATAGCAGTAAGTTATTAACACAATTAAGCATCCTCCTCATCTTTTATTTCTTTATATAACTGGGGGTTTAAAAGAAGTTTTGAGTCACTTCCTGACCAATCTAAACTGTTTACTTACTAACCAAGAAAATATTGTTCTGCTTTTTTCTAATTTCATCTTGAACACATAGGTAAATCCTGTAATATATAAGCTATTCATAAGTTCATATTACTTATTTACTTAGATCTTAGTTTTATTGAGTAGAGAGACACCTTTTTTTTTTAAATGTCTGTGTTCCTGAATTATTTAGAACGATGCTTTGTTGTTCTTGTGGTTATGTGCCATTGAGTCAGACCCGACTCATAGCGACTCCTCCTTGGGTTTCTGAGGAGGTATCACTATGGACTATGGATTGCCCGTCCTTCCTTCCAAGGAGTGGCTGGTGGGTTTGAACCATCAGCCTTCTGGTTAGCAGTCAAGTGCCTTAGGCACTACGCTACCACAGCTGAGAAAATACCCCAAACATGTTAATCGAAGTCTCTGGTATCATATCCAGGCAGCAGAGCAAGCACCTCAGGATTTCTCACTGGCTTAGAGTAAGTGGAAAGGTTCTTAGATCATGCTGCCACTCACATATTCACCTTTTCAAAGTACTGATTTCTGGAAAGAAGTGCTTATATTCAATTCTAAAAGCCAAGAAAAAAAAAAAAACACCAAGTAAGCAATTCCCTAGAAAATATTAACAATAAAACCCCTTACCTTTTGGTGGAAAATAGGATTTGCTTTCTGCTTTGTGAGGCCAGTCTACGACCAGAGGCCCAAATCTTCTGAAGCTGGCTGTTATTTCATCTTAAGAAAAGTATAAATAATACGCATTAGGAATTAGTTTCAATGATTCCTTTCAAGAAATCCTGTATTTTATACATTATTCTGAAGATGTAATATTTAAAAGTGTCAAATATAGCCTAAGGTAAGCTAGAACAAAAACACTGAGAGTATGTCTACCATCTTTATTAAAATAATATGTAAAGCTTAGTATTTTACTCAAAATAAATTCAACTGGTTAAGTAGCACACTGGCTAGAATAAGCAATTCAATTTGAACTTCAAAACTTAACACTACTTTGTATGGATACTAATAGATTTACAGAACACAAAACCATAAATTGCACTAGCTGAGAAATATGCCAGTATTTTAATCACAAGTAAAAATATGCTGTTGTACGGGGAAAAGGTCTATTGAAACAAGATTTGAAAAGTTATAATGCTTATTAAATTTACTAGGCTCTGACATATGGCAGACAGTTTCAAAGAAACACATATAAGTCAAATCCAATGGCATGTTCTAAGTTTTTTCCTTACATCACTATCTTATTATACTGATTAATACTTAAGATCAGTTTGCACGTGTCTGACTCATAATTTAAAGAATTCCCTAAGTCTAGCAACATCTTCACACCTATTCCTTATAAACGAGAGGGACAAATTTCCTGCAACCTCACAAACATTACAAAGCTCCAGTATTTTCAATCTTTATCTTGAATTATTTTTCTTATGTTACTGCATGTGATGATCTCCACATAGTGTACAACCTGGATTTCCTATGTTCTTTCTCCATTTCTTGTTTGAGTTTTATAGCCTCTGTCTTATTCACGGACCACTTCTAAGAGTGCATTTGCCTTAAGTAAATTAACCTCTTCGCTGTGGTGCTTTGCAGATTTCGTTTCACGGTGGGTTTCCATTTATTTCATTTTGTGTGTGTATGTTAGGTCATACAAAAAGTTTTCAGTGTTGTTTATTCAAGTTAAGTTCTATATGTTAAAAAAGAGTAAGTCAGGTATGATGCAGAGGATGAAAATCTTACTTACAAAACAATGCTCACAGTAACAAAATGTACCATAAGGTATAAAGTGAAGAAAAAAATCAGAAAGTCATTTGTTCAACCAGCCTCCAGATTTCAATGGGTAACCAAAATACTTCAACAGAGATAGATTCCCACTCTGACTCTACAGATAAAAATTCTATACCCTCCCACCCCATTCTTATTATATTTCAGGCTTTTGTTTTTAAGCAAAGATTGTCACCTTACCTTCATCAATATCTGGAGGAAGACCACCAACAAAAACTTTTCGAGAGAAGCGCTCTATTCGCTCTCCATTTTGATGAGCTGAGTAACACGTGGGTGAATTTAAAACACCAACTTGATCATTATGGCCATCATCCAGCAAGCCATCGTCTATCGGAAAGAGGGAAGACCGACCTAAAACGTAAGAACAAAAGTAACTTGAATCTCAGATCCAAGAAAATGATACGTTATAGCTGGGCACAGAAATACCGGTGACAAATTCAAACTCTTAAAAAATGAAGGAAACATAGGTGTAAAAGAAATAATGGAAATTCAGATAGTACAAGGTATTAATTACTTGTATTAGTGAGAAGTAGTCTGATGAATGATTGAGAAATAAAGTCACACGACAACAATTATACAGCAAAAGAAATACTCAATTCCATTCCTCTTTTATGGACAACAGCAAGCACTGATGCATGGGGAGAGCTAGATTGCACATCCAACGAGAGAAACCTAGAAATCAGTGGAGAAAGGAAATGATACAGAGTAAATAGATAGGAGGGCACAAAAAAAAAAAAAAAAAAAAAAAACGCTTGCAGACGGTAAGAAGTGGACAAAGGGAATAAGCAGTATTTACATACAAGGTCTTCAATTAACTTATTACACGTGTCACTTACATGATAGGGTAGGACAGGGTTCTGCACATGAGCAAAACAGAACAAACGCATCCTCATTTGAGTACACCCTTATGAGTTGTCTTTGTATAGAGTACGGTCTGTGCAATAGCATATAGCAATCCTGTTGCTATGCTCAGCAGGGATTAAAAAAAAGTAATAATAACCTAATAAAATATAGTCCCCTGCTCTCTAGGAATGTACCTTATAGAAAAGCTAAGATCTCTACATGTAACTACCATGTATAGCTGTAAGAAAGTGTCAAAGTACTTCAGAGGAAGTATTTTGGAGCAAGAGGGTAGCTAATACAAGCGTACTATCTTACATCTCCAGTAAAATCAGACAGCATTTGCACTGAGAAGGAAAAGGTAATGATGCTCAGAGATTAAGTGAGAGCATTAGAGAGGGCAGGGTATTTACAGATGGAAATATTTGTGACAACATATTTTTAAACAAGTTTTTCAAGTGGAAGGAGCAGCATAAGTAGAAAAGAATGAATTTATTTAAAAAATAGGCAGTGGCCAAGATTGAATCATGTTCGAAACAAAGAGTAAAAGCTAGAAAATCATTTCCAGGAAGCCCATCAGATACAGGGGAATTCAAGTAAGATGGTAATTTTTCCTATAGGTGAATTGAAGATGAGAAGATCAAAAACTCAGCAAAAAGGATGGATGGTAGTGTTATCCAGCAGTATAATATAAGGGAAAAAAAAAAAATCCTGAAAGGGCAGAGTTAAGGAACATTAATGATAATTCCATTAACTGAAAAGAAGGACAAAATAAGTAACGTAAGAAATACTTTATATTCGTAAAGTTTCATATGCTGATAGGATGTTAAGAAGCAAATGTACTATAACCCACTGCCAACAAGTTGAGTCTGACTCATAGCAACCTGCACAGGGTTTCCAAGGCTGTCAATGTTTACAGAAGCTGATTGCCTCATCTTTCTCCCTCAGAACAGCTGGTGGATTTAAACCATCAATCTTCTGGTTAGTAGCCCAGTGTCTTAAATGTACTCCCCCCAGAGTTCCTTAAGTGTACTGTAGGAGTGGAGAGAAAGGAATTAAGTCATATTTCTGAGAAAAAGATTTGTAGTCAATGCCATGGAAGTGATAATTTAAGCTTCTTTGTAATATCACTGAAAGAAACTTCAGAGAGAAATGACAAGGGCAGTTCCTTAGGAAACGTACAAGGAAGTGGAATAATAAATGAGAAAGGGAAGAAGTGGTAAGTAAAGCAAGAGGGAAGTCAAAATACTGTGACAGAAATGCCAGAGAAAAAGAGCAAATAAAAAGGAAATGGATCGATTAAGTACCAAAGGGAGGGGTTAAGATAATTATAAAAACATGACAAATGTGTTAGAAGACATTCATGATCTCTGAAAAGAGCAGTTTTAGTCAAGTTGAGTGGAAGCGAGACTGCATGAAGTTAGTTTTATAAAGCACATAAGTCAAAACAAGACTCTTCTTTAGAAGTTTATTTTTAAAGGAAAAGGAGAATAAAAGAATGCAGGCAGGCTGATTTCCTTTCATGATCAAGTGAAGAATGTTTTAGGGATGAACAGACAATGCAAAATGCATACAGTCTATGTCTTTAGATATACAAGTAATAGATATTTAACATAAAATGTCATTAAGGTTATCATCTTGAAAAATGTAACCTGTAACCATGCAAGTGATGTAAACAAAAGCAATCCCAACTACGATGACCTGCACAGAACAGAGATGGTGGAGGAGAAGAAGCCACATGCTTGCTAGCTAGTTATATAGTAGAAATATGAATTTGAAGTTTGAAGACTCAGCAACACAAAGAATATATCTGGTAAAGGGAACAAATGTGAGCTACAGGTTCACACTCAATTTAAATAAGGTGCTCTCAAAGATACCCATTTTTATTGAGTAACTTTGTGAATGTTAATTTGACTTTTCAAACATCTTCGGTGTCATAAATAGGGAACACAGAAAATCAAATGTCAATATTCATTATGATCAATAGGAAAAAAAAGTTCTTCAAAAGGAAACTACTTTACTTGTAAAATGAATGTCATCAAGATCCATTAGAAATATTAACTGTGAATAATTGGCTAAACTTACTGAGGTTAGAAAACACGGAAACAAACTAGTAAATGATTCTGTAATTGAAAGGAATAAGATGAGGTAGAGAAAGAACATAAATAATAACTAGTTTTTGAAGAAAAAATGACAAATTCAAATTCTATGCTTATTTTAGACATACACCAGTACTTTATGAAGCGTTCCAGTTTAAAAGTGTCTCAACACACATAATTATGCAGTCCTATAAATACAATAAATAAAGTCTTTTTCACTTTTTGATAGACTTTAGCTTGAGAAGAAATACAGACCATGAATATTCAGATAGTATAAGGTATAAAAATAGAAATACCAAAGGCAACGACTAAAGAAATCACTTACATGAGCAATACCAGAAGACATGTGTTTCAACCATGTCTTTTAATTTTGTAGCACAGTGCCTAAGGCATCAGACTGCTGACTAGAAGGTTGATGGTTCAAACCCACCAGCCACTCTGCAGAAGGAAGACAGGGCAATCGACTTCCATAAAGGTTTACCACCTTGGAAACCCAATGGGGGTCACTACGAGTCAGAATCAACTCAATGGCAGTGTTTTTTTTTTTGTATAGTAGTTATGTTTATACTACAATAACTATATTACTAACAATAATATACTAATTATAATAACTACAGTTATTATAATTCCCATTGTACTGATAAAAAATCACTACAAAGTTAATCTGTTAACCAATGTTCAGCTGAACAAAGGATTTATAATGGAAAGGATCAGAACAGTTCACACAGTAGCCACAACTACTGAGAATGTTCCTCCTTCTAGAGGTTATAAAAGCTATGGTGTTAAACACTCATTGTAAAGAAGAGTTAACTGAATATATATCATTAAGAAAAATAAGACTTTTTACCTTGCCAATTATCCTTCTGCATAACCCAAATCCGTAGGACTACATAAAAGGTTGTTGTTGTTGTTGTTGTTATGTGCCGTCGAGTCAAACCCGACTCATAGCGACCCCTCCTTGGGTTTCCAAGGCAGTATCACTACAGCAGTAGGATTGCCCAACCTTCCTTCCGAGGAGTGGCTGGTGGGTTTGAACCACCAGCCGTCTGGTTAGCAGGCAAGTGTCTTAGCCACTATGCTACCAGAGCTCCCATATAAAAGGAGAACTACTAAAGTAGTTATATTTACCAAATACAGCACACTTTAAACATGTTTCTAGAAATAAATACACTAACACATACAGGTAGCTTATAGAAATGGTTTGTAAAAGTAAAATGAAATGATCTGCTTTGCTCCATGCTACTGAGTCAATGTGACTCAGTGGCCTCTGGACAACGGAACACCACACTGCCAGGCCTGCGTCACCCTCACAGCACTGCTGTGTTTGAGCCATTGTTGCAACCACTGTCGCAATCTATCTTACTGAGTGCTGAGAGAATTAGAGTTTGACTATAAAATGATTTGGACTAGGGGGTGTGTGTAACAGTTTTCAGCCCAAATTAAATGACCTTTTTCCATTTTTTCACCAAAACCAGACTGCTGCCACGTTCATATACTTCAAGAGAATGAACTAGAGTGATAACGAAAATAATACAGTCTGTGGGATGCGGCTAAAGCCACACTCAGAGAGAACTGTATAGTTCTAAATGAATATCAGAAAACAAGAAATCCTTAAAAATCAGTAATCTTAGTGTATACCATGAAAATCTAGAAAAAGAGTAATAAATACAAAGATGTAGGAGGAAAGAAATAAAGAAGTGAAATCAAAACACAGAAATTAGAGAAACAATAAAGAAAACCAGTAAAGCCAGAACTTTGGTTCTTTAAAAAAATCATTAATAAAAAAATTAACAAAGCTTTACAGCAAGGCTCATTAAGAGAGAAAGAAACCCAAAATTAATAATAGGTATGAAAAAGGGGACAGCACCATGGAACAAATTATGTTAATAAATTCAACATTTGAGAAAATGAACTAATCCCTTGTAAAACATACCTTTCAAATCTGGCATGAGAAGAACTCTAAAGTCTGAAGAGTTCTATTAAAGAAACAGAATCTATAACTTTGATTTAAACAAAACAATAAGCAAAACTTCCACAAAGAAACCCCAGGCATAGATAAGCCTCACTGGTGACTGGAGCAAACTTTTGAAGAAGAGAGAACATCAATTTTTACAAACACTCTCTGAGGATAAGGGCAGAAGGAAGTCTTCCCCAATGGTTTTATAAGGTTACCAAGACTCTGTTACCAAAACCTGACAAGAACAGTACAGACAAAGTAAACTACATATGAGGTTCTCCCCTATCAGCCTACATGTGAAAATCCTAGAGAAAAATATTGGCAGAGTGAATCCAGAAAAGAGGAAAACAAATCATGCCTAAGTAGAGTCATCCCTGAAATTCAAGGTTGGTTTGACATTCAAAACTCAACATAATTAATAACATGAACTAAATGAAACAAAAGCACCATAAAAT